AATTAGGAGGAGACAGAAGGCCCTGGTGGCCATGGGAGACTTGGGGGAGACAGAAGGCTCCTGGTGGCCAGGGAGGGGGGGGGGGGGGAAAGACTCAATGGATGGGACTCCCCACCCCTTACTTCAGCAGCCCCCCCATCCTCAGCTTCCTCCCCTGCCTTGACACCCCAATACTGCTAGCCTCCTGGCCTGAGGAATCTGGGCAAGTCTTCTAGTATTACTATATATTTTAGAAATGGGGATCTGTTTGTCTGTCTGTTGGTCTGTGAATCTGTTTGTTAAAGAACTCCTCTTAAATGGTTAAGAGCTAAGGTCACCAAATTGAGTATGCAGCTTCCTCTTAAGGTCACGGTTTGGTTGTGTGAGGACAATGGGATGTTCCTGGAAAATGGAAGAGGTGGGGTCTGGTAGAACCAAAGTTATACTGTAGAATGACTACAGGGAGCTACCAAGGGACTGGAGATGGGGACATCCATAATCCCATTGGGCCAGCAGGAGGTAGGGGTGGAGAAAGGGACAGTTATCTACTGTATATTTCAGAGAGTTTGTCTGTCTGGGTGTGTCTAAACTACATGGCTCTGTCGATGGAGCCATGCAGATTAGGCTGATTGGCAGAGGGAAATGAAGCCGCGATTTAAATAAACGCGGCGCCGATCAGCTGTTTGTTGGTTTCATTTAAATTTAAATGGCTGCCGCACTCTGCCAACCAGCTGATGATCAGCTGTTTGTTGGCAGATCGGGGCAGTGTCAACAAGGAAGCCTTTGTCGACCGGCGCAGGTATGCCTCGTTTCAACGGAGCCATGTAGTTTAGACACACCCTCTGTGTGTCTGTCTGTCCCTCAGCTGGGGGATATGCACCCCTACCCTGGCTGTGTCCACTGCAGCTGCAGCAGCCATGGACAGGTGCGTCTCACCTGTCCCCAAGCTGCTGTGATGAGAGAGGGCTGGGGCTGTCATTTCTTCCTGGGGCAGCCTGAATACTGAACCCCTCATTCCCAGCCCCACCCTACAGCAATGATTTAAATGAAAGAAAAACAGAACTTATCTGAGATAAGGACCCAAGCAACACCAGGTAAATCTTCTAGCACTATATATGCTTTGCTGTTTTAGACCTACAAATATCTTGAGCACTTTAAAAACAGCTAGGGCCTGATCCTGCAAACATAGATGTGTTTAATTTTACTCTTTTCATTTGTCCCATATAAGCCAATGAGACTATTTTCAGAAATAAAGTTACACAAATGCATAAATGTTTGCAGGATCAGGCCACAAAGGATTAAATCCATTCAAAGATTAATTTTAAATGTCTAAAGCTTTTTTAAATTAGAATCTGTCCCAAAAACCTCAAAGCCACAACAACTGAATCAGAATTCAAGTTATATTTTTATTTCCACCATAAACTATTACAGCAATACCAATTTTAGATAAAAATAAAATGATATTGATTTCAAATACCCTGAGGGTGTGTCTAAACTACAGCCCTCTGCCGACAGAGGCTTTCCTTGTCGACTGATCCCTGTCTAGACTGCTGCTTTTTGCCAGCACAGTGCTGTGGTAGCAAAAAGTGGTGGCCATTTTTATTCAAATGAAGTGCGGGATATTTAAATCCCCGCTTCATTTGCAATAGCGATATGCCTAATCTACATCCCTCTGCCGACAGAGGGATGTAGTTTAGACACACCCTGAGAGACTGAACTCTGAAAACTGGTTATTAGCAAGAAACTCACCTGATACCATTAAAAACCATACATATTCATTCATTATTAATTATTATAAAACAGACCTTCTAAAGTCCTGATCCTGCAAAAGCATTTTGTGTAGGGCCCTACCAAATTCATTATTCATTTTGGTCAATGTCATGGTCCTAGGATTTTAAAAATTGCAAATTTCATTATTTCAGCTATTGATATTTGAAATTTCACAGTATTCTAATTGTAAGAATCTTTACTCAGAAAAGAGCTGGGGCAAAGGCTGTGAAACTGCTACCGTTGCTGGTAGCAGTACTGCCTTCCAGCTAGCAGCTGCCCTCTCCAGCTGCTCAGCTCTGGAAGGCATAGCCCCTGCCAGCAGCACCACAGAAGTAAGAGTGTCATGGTATGGTATTGCCACCCTTACTTCTGGTCTTCTGCTGACAATCGGCTGCCTTCAGCAGCTGCCACTCCCTAACTACCCAGCTCTGAGGTCAGCACAGAAGTAAGGGTGGCAATACCTTGACACTCCTAAAATAACCCTATGATCCCCCTGGCAGCTGCCTTTAGGTTCAAGACCCCCAATTTGAGAAACACTCATCTCCCCCCATTAAATCTATATAATATAGGGTAAAAGGACACATTTCACAGTCCATGATGCATTTTCCTGGTTGTGAATTTGGTAGGGTCCTACTAATGTGCATGGTTACCTTTATGTAGAGATAGTCTTTTTGCAGTTAGTGGAACTAATCACAGTGCATAAGTTAAACACACACGTAATGCTTCATTTTTTTAGCTGCTTATATGCAGAAAAGACATCTAGTGACTTTGATGCAATCTGATCCACAATTATTTACATCCCTACTTGTAACAACTTTTTAAATACTTGAAAGCTGTTATCATGTCCCCTCTCAGTCTTTTGTTTCCAGACTAAACAAACCCAGTTCCTCCAATCTTTTCTCATACATCATGTATTTCTAGACTTTTAATCATTTTTGTTGCTATTCCCTGGACCTTCTCCAGTTTGTCCACATATTTCCAGATGTGTGGTGCCTAGAACTGGATACAATACTGTCCCTCTCCCTTAAATTTCATCTTTCTACTTCCCTCCTGACTCTGGTCTGTCCAGTCCATTTGACCTATCTGACAGAGCCTGCATGGAGAGCAGCTTCCATATGAAAAGGCGATTAGAGACTGGACAAGAGATGACTAAGGGAGATATGACAGAATTATGATGATAAAATCATGAATGGTGTGAATAATGGAATGTTATTGTACCCTTCACAAAACGTAATAAGAGGTCACCCAATGAAATTAACAGGAAGCAGATTTAAAACACACAGATGGAAGTACAGCTTCACACAACACACAGTCAACCTGTGGAGCTTTTGTTGCAGGGGATGTTGTGGAGTCTAAAAGAATGACAGAGTTCAAACAAGAATTAGATAAATTCAGGGTGCTTATATAAATTCACGGAGAAGTGAAAAATGGGATGGATGGATGGATCACTTGATTACCTTGTTCTATTCATTCACTCTGAAGCATCTAGAATTGGCCACGGTCAGAACACAGGATCCTAGACTAGATGGACCATTGGTTTGACCTATTATGGGCCTTCTTATGGTGAAATTATGCATGCTGGGATCTGCCCCCAGGGCTCAGGTAGAGTAAGGCATCCTGGGAGCTACTTCCCCCCATGGCTCTGCCCCCTGGGCTCAGGTAGAGCAAGGCATGCTGGGAGCTAGTTTGCTCTGCCCCCGGGCTCAGGTAGAGCGGGGCATGCTGGGAGCTAGATCCCCCCATGGCTCTGCCCCCGGGCTCAGGTAGAGCGGGGCATGCTGGGAGCTAGATCCCCCCATGGCTCTGCCCCCGGGCTCAGGTAGAGCAGGGCATGCTGGGAGCTAGTTCCCCCCATGGCTCTGCCCCCGGGCTCAGGTAGAGCAGGGCATGCTGGGAGCTAGATCCCCCCATGGCTCTGCCCCTGGGCTCAGGTAAAGCGGGACATGCTGGGAGCTAGTTCCCCCCATGGCTCTGCCCCCGGGCTCAGGTAGAGCGGGGCATGCTGGGAGCTAGTTCCCCCCATGGCTCTGCCCCCGGGCTCAGGTAGAGCGGGGCATGCTGGGAGCTAGTTCCCCCCATGGCTCTGCCCCCGGGCTCAGGTAGAGCGGGGCATGCTGGGAGCTAGTTCCCCCCATGGCTCTGCCCCCGGGCTCAGGTAGAGCGGGGCATGCTGGGAGCTAGTTCCCCCCATGGCTCTGCCCCCGGGCTCAGGTAGAGCGGGGCATGCTGGGAGCTAGTTCCCCCCATGGCTCTGCCCCCGGGCTCAGGTAGAGCGGGGCATGCTGGGAGCTAGTTCCCCCCATGGCTCTGCCCCCGGGCTCAGGTAGAGCGGGGCATGCTGGGAGCTAGTTCCCCCCATGGCTCTGCCCCCGGGCTCAGGTAGAGCGGGGCATGCTGGGAGCTAGTTCCCCCCATGGCTCTGCCCCCGGGCTCAGGTAGAGCGGGGCATGCTGGGAGCTAGTTCCCCCCATGGCTCTGCCCCCGGGCTCAGGTAGAGCGGGGCATGCTGGGAGCTAGTTCCCCCCATGGCTCTGCCCCCGGGCTCAGGTAGAGCGGGGCATGCTGGGAGCTAGTTCCCCCCATGGCTCTGCCCCCGGGCTCAGGTAGAGCGGGGCATGCTGGGAGCTAGTTCCCCCCATGGCTCTGCCCCCGGGCTCAGGTAGAGCGGGGCATGCTGGGAGCTAGTTCCCCCCATGGCTCTGCCCCCGGGCTCAGGTAGAGCGGGGCATGCTGGGAGCTAGTTCCCCCCATGGCTCTGCCCCCGGGCTCAGGTAGAGCGGGGCATGCTGGGAGCTAGTTCCCCCCATGGCTCTGCCCCCGGGCTCAGGTAGAGCGGGGCATGCTGGGAGCTAGTTCCCCCCATGGCTCTGCCCCCGGGCTCAGGTAGAGCGGGGCATGCTGGGAGCTAGTTCCCCCCATGGCTCTGCCCCCGGGCTCAGGTAGAGCGGGGCATGCTGGGAGCTAGTTCCCCCCATGGCTCTGCCCCCGGGCTCAGGTAGAGCGGGGCATGCTGGGAGCTAGTTCCCCCCATGGCTCTGCCCCCGGGCTCAGGTAGAGCGGGGCATGCTGGGAGCTAGTTCCCCCCATGGCTCTGCCCCCGGGCTCAGGTAGAGCGGGGCATGCTGGGAGCTAGTTCCCCCCATGGCTCTGCCCCCGGGCTCAGGTAGAGCGGGGCATGCTGGGAGCTAGTTCCCCCCATGGCTCTGCCCCCGGGCTCAGTAGCCTGTATGTCCCCATTCTCTTGGCCTTGGGCTGTGTCTTTCCTGGAGCAGTTACATTACATGAAGCCCACGCACCCCACCCATTCTAGCCGAAGTATTATTTATTAGTCTCTGCAGACTAACCCAGTGGGGCCTCGTTGGACCAACACTGCTGGGGGAAGGTGCTGCTTTCATAGGCCTGGGGACTGGCATTGTGTTACAAAGTGGTTAATTAGGTAACTATGTTACTGCTGAAAATGTTAGTGGTTACGCAGTTTCACACTATGGGCTGTGCAGTACACTGTATAAAGTGCAGCTACCTGGGAGTGGGGCCAGCAGGCATTGTATGCCCCCAGGCTGCTGGCTTCACTCCTGGGAGTGGCTGCACTGCAGGCTTTGCAGTATAAGTTTATACAGCAAAGTCTGCAGGATGGGGCAGCAGCTGGCTTTTCAGGAACCAGTCCATACTGGGATGGGGCTTTTAAGCCAGCTCCCTGAGTGCACTGACTCCCACCTGCTGCCCTGCTCGTAGGCATCCAGAATACACCATGGGATGCTGCCTCTGATATAGGAATAGGTAATGAATGAATAGGTAAACATATCTTTAGTCTTGGGAAGGCTCTGATTCTGCAGTGGCCAGATACCATCAAAGTTTGACTTCAATGAAAGATGAAGATTCACCATACATCCTATGATCTAAAAGGAATATTTTAGTCCATAAGTCCCCAAACTGTGGGGTTTGCTCTCAAAGGTTTGTGGTGGGGGTCAGGCCCACCTCCACAAGGGCAGAGAGGGAGCATTCCCCCGCTCTGCTCCAGTCGCACTTCAAGCTGCATCGCTAGCTTCCAGCCCTGTGCCTGACTTTGTTCCCATCCTTGGCATGGCTGTGCTGCCAGTTGGAGAGCCTGGCTGCCCAGCTACCAACATGAGCTGGTGGCAGCTCTGCTCCAGGCCCCTCATTAACAACTGGCCGTAGCTCTGTTTCTAGCCTGGGATTGATGCCAGTGGTTCAGCCAGAAGTGAAGCCACACCTGTTCACAGACCCGGTTGTTGGTACCCACCATGGCTGCAGCTCTACTCGAAGCCACACCTGTTCACAGACCCGGTTGCTGGTAACCACCATGGCTGCAGCTCTACTGCCCCCAGCCACGGTCCCTTGCTGTGACTCCACTCCTGGCCTCAGACCTACCCTAGCTGCGGCCCCCAACTTAGGCTCCCTTACTTCTGTCTACATCTCTCACTCTGCCAGCTCTGTGATTCCATTCCCAGCCTGGCTCCAGGGAGGCAGGATGGGTGCAGACAGTGGCAAGAGTGGGCATGACCCTCAAAAGTTTGGGGACCACTGCTCTAGTTTAAATAGGAATTATTTTGGGGGGAGTTATGTGGCCTGTGTTATGGAAGAGCTCAGACTTCTGGATGATCATATTGGTGCTTTTCATCTAGAATCTGATGAGCCCTCAGATTGTTTACTTCTGTGCTGAAGCTGTCAAAAATCTGTGATGGTGATTTTCGTAATGTGGAAAGTAGTCCTCTGGAGACTGGTCATGCGTACATAAAAGTCAATTTTGAAAGCTCTGATTTTTTATGAGAACTCTTTAACAGTAAACTGGAGAACACTGAATCACAGTTGCCCAGAAATCTTTTTAGTGAAGGTTTTCAAAAGCAGTACATTACAGAAGTGTAGGGCTACTTTTATTAGCAAAATATTAATTTGTAAGCTGTTATAATGCAACATGCAAATGAAGCCAAAGAACATGTGATGCCAACATGCAAATGAAGTCAAATTATGAGTTGCTTATATTTCAGAGGAGTGTGCTGGTGATAGGCTCTCCCAGTACTATCCTGGACTGTTCCCAGTGTGTTCTACTGGAGAAATCCAAGTCCTCGCTTACTCTGTGTTTCAAAATGAGTAGCTCTTTAAATATAAATAACAAAATTAGCCATGTGAAAAGTAGTACTTGTTGCACACACAAATTGTCAATAGTTAACATGTTTAGAGTAAATTGTTTTTTTAGCCTTTTAAACTGCTGTTTATACTGATCTGATACTTTTTGGCTGCATCTAGACTGGCAAGTTTTTCTGCAAAAGCAGGTGCTTTTGCGGAAAAACTTGCCAGCTGTCTAAACTGTCAGCTTGAATTTCTGCAAGAACACTAACGATCTCATGTAAGATTGTCAGTGTTCTTGCGGAAATACTATGCTGCTCCTGTTCGGGCAAAAGCCCTCTTGCGCAAATGCTTTTGCACAAAAGGGCCAGTGTAGACAACGTGGTATTGTTTTGCACAAAAAAACCCAATGGCGAAAATGGCGATTGGGGCTTTCTTGCGCAAAACCGTGTCTAGATTGGCACGGACGCTTTTCTGCAAAAAGTGCTTTTGTGGAAAAGCGTCTGTGCCAATCTAGTTGCTCTTTTCCGCAAATGCTTTTAATGGAAAAACTTTTCTGTTAAAAGCATTTTCGGAAAATCATGCAAGTCTAGACGTAGCCTTTGTGAGTACATGGTTTTCCTTTCTTGATACATGTCTGTAAGTGATTTTGCTAATTATTCTGCTGTATACATTCTGGGACTTCAGTGGGCCAGGATTTCATCCTCTGTGCCTTCTGAGAAGATGGTACTTTGAATGTAGAACACTTCATACTTTTCAAAAAATCACAACAATTATTCTCATTTTTCCATCCGGGTGAAGTTTAGAACAGAAACCCGGGAGTCAGAATTCAGCAGTTCCACATTATATTCTTTCTTCTGAGCCAGATACTGTGTGTGACCACAAGTCACTAAAACTTCCTATGCTTCCATTTTCTTGCCTGCAAAATAGATACAATAATATTTAACTATCTCTCATGGTATTGTGGAGTTTAATTAGCTAATGTTTCTGACATTCCCAGAGGAAAATTCTGTGGAATAGAAACATATCCTTTTTCTGAGAAAGGGAAAGAAGAGAAATGCTTCCTCTATTTCACCTGTACCTTTTCTTGCCGTGTCATTAAGACTTATTTATGTGCTAGTTTTTATCCTATGTTTGTAAACAGCTGCACATCTATGACACTATGTAAGTAATAATAAAAGCACTATTGTATTATTAATCTCAACAATGCAGTTGGAGGAGGGACTACTTTTTATCCTCTTTTTCCATTGCTGCCACCAATTAAAAATCTACCAGTTTGGGACTCTAGCCCTCTGTATGCTTAGATTGGGCCTGTTTTTACAGTGCTGTCCTAAAAAAAGATTTCTAATCATCTAATATATATAAAGTATTTTTAAAATATGTGACATTTAAAAAAGGGGGGGGGGAGTTTATCACTTGTGGCACAGTAACTATAACAGCACCATTTTTCTATAAAGTGTTAAACTGGAAGTCAGCCAGTGACATTGCAGTCACAAAAAGGCAGTGTTCCCCCTGTCCAAAGCCCAAGAAAGGCTTTACAAAATATTCTCTCTGTGGGGTTAGAGCTTAAAACACTCTTCTCTTGCTGTGAAGTATTTGTATTGCTAGGCTGACCCTACCGTGAGGGAAAGTTTGGCTGGTTGATGTCTAGTCATGGACCTACTCGCCATTTTTGCCACCTTTCTCCTGGCTGTTCTTCCTTATTACCTTTGTGAAACTCCTGCTGAGCACCTCCTTTCCAGCCCCTCTCCCTTAGTTCCTTGTTTCTGTTGCCCTTTGGTCACTACCCAGCTCAGGAAAGGTTAGGATGTCCCCCCAGTATGGCTAAGTTGCAAGTGGAACAACAGAGTTTGGGAAGAAAAATTGTTCTAGCTGGCATCTGCATGTGCTATCTAACTTTCAAGCCACTCAGTGAAGTGGCCAGATGAGCTAATTATGAATTTACAGATATGAGTGGTAAATCCCTGGTTTACTAGCTAGCACTATGGCAGGTGTTTACGTTTGTGACGAGGATCTAAGGATGGATTAAAATTCTATTCCCATAGGTAAGAAGTAATTGACGGCTTTATTCACTAACTGATCCTCCATTTTTAGAGAACCATGAAATTACTCTGAAGAAAATCAGGAATATTAATGATATAATAGCTGTGAATTTTCCTGCTTCCCTACATTAATATGTTTCATTAAAGTCATTCACATCTGAACATCAGATGTCAAAGAGACATGGAAGATAAAGGAATATTAATTTCAGTGTAGTCAGTTTTCCTGCAAGTAATTCCTTCCCATCATCCAAAGATAACTTGATAATGGATAAAATATATGATTTGCTATCTTTCCTGGCATCTCTGGAGAAATGTCTGAATACACCTGGAACAGTTCAAACTTACACCAAAAACAATGAAATTGTATTTTGAGGGGCTCTGTTCTAACTCTGAACTCAGACAAATTTCCCATTCACTTATAGGGACATGGAAATTGTCATACTGGATTGGATCAACAGACTGTCTAGTCCAGTATTCTGCCTGACATTTGCCAGCAACAGATACTACAGAAGAAGGTACAAAACTGCAAAATAATTTGTGCTTATGTAAAGTTTCATCCTAAACTCTCTCAATGAGTGCTTGGCTTATGCCTTGAATATTAATATTTATCCCATTCAACATTTTGAGTTCCTCTGTTTTAACTCTGGATATTCTTGTTACCTATAGACACTTTTTGGAAACTTGATATCTTTTAGGAATTTATTCTCCATGCTAATTGTGCACTGTATATAAATTATTTCCTTTGATCAGTTTTATATTTGCTGGGAGAAGGCAGAAGAGAAGGGGTACACTTTGGGATCCCACAGGTGTTTTACATGTTATGTTTCTTCTAGCTGTGAAAGCAGCAATCCTCGTTTCCTCATTGCATACCCTAAACATACAGGAGCTCTTGCACAATGGAAAAAGTGAAATGAATGCTCTATTACATGTTTATAGTAGGGATGTAAGCAACTATTTGAGTAGGCTTCTTTGGTAGTCGAATTGACTACTTGCATCCCCCCTTGCTGTCTTTATATCAGAGGCAGCAAAGCGGTGAGGAAGCAGGAGCAAGTGCTAGATAGAGTCAGCAGCACAGGAGGAGGGGAGGGGACAGAGGAGGCTGCTGCATATAAGACCATTTTATGAAAGAAATAGGTTCAAAGGCTGAGCTGAGTAAGTTTAAAATATTTTGTTTCTCTTAATAAATGGTTTATAACATAGCAAGGGACTGATTTTTTTTTAAAGTCCAACACCTATTTTTAAAACAGAAATAAACCCAACAAGGCATTCCATGGCACTTCATGGACCAGGGCTGGGCAAAATATAGCCTGCAGGCCAAATCTGGCTCTCCAAGCCACCAGATCTGGCTCACAGCTGCAATGTGGAGCCCCAGGCCAGCTCCCTGCTTACCACCTGCACACAGCTCAGAAAAGCAGCTGATGTAGCCATTTCTCTTTCACAGTGGTGAGCCCGGATGAGAGGGAGGAAGGCTTCATGAACTGCCCTCACCCCCAGCATAATCCCATTGGTCAATTTCTGGCCAATTGAGGCTCTCTGTTTGAAAAGCGCTGTGCCCCCCCCCCCCCCAGCTCATAGTTGTTCACACATACACATGACCCCTGCGGATGTAGGGAGGTCGGCCATGGAGCAGAAGCAGCTGGGGGGTGTGGAGACTCAGACAGGAGCCAGGGGGCAGGATGCAGAGGGACAGGTGGTGCAGCAGAGAGCCCTGGCCCCTGTGGCCAGATGGTAATGGAAGTTCGGTAGTGGCAGCTGCAGAACTCTGGCCCAGGCTGTGGAGCTTGCAGACTGCAGCGGCAGCTGTGGACCTTGGGGATGGCAGCCACAGCTGTGGAGCTCTAGCAATGGCAGAGCTCCAGTCCCAGCTGTGGAGCTCTATATCTGGCCATGGAGCTCTGGCCCAGCAGCAGCCATGGCTGGGCAGGCAGCAACAGAGCTAGGCTGGAGCCTAGCCCGGGGGCAACAGGACAGCACAGGCCATACTCAGAGGGACCTCCCCTGGTCCAGCAACTCCCCTCATTTGGGACCAATCAGGTCCCAACAGTGCCAGATAAGGGAAGTCCAACCTGTACTAACAATCCCACTATGGGTTATGGTTATTATGCCTAATCTTTCTCTTAAATTTTGTTGTTGTTTTATTGCACCCATCCAAATGGTCCATGAGTGCTTATTTTTAAATGCAGAAAGAGAAAGATGTAGATCAGAGTTTCTCAAAGTGGGCCATGGGCCGACCTGGGTAAGCTGCTGGTGGGCCTCTACCCATTTGTTTATCTAAAGTGTCTGTCAACATGGAGCCTCACAGCTCCTATTGGCTGTGGTTTGCAGTTCACTGTCTCCTGCCCAGGGGAGCTGTGGGGAATGGTATGCCATGGGTTTCCACTTCCTGCAGCTCCCCTTGGCTGGAAACAGTGAACCACAGCCAATGGGAGCTGCAAAGCTGTGTGGCTATGGACACTTTAGATAAATTAAGTGGCACAGGCCTGCCAGCTGCTTGCCCAAGCCTGCATGTGTCCCACTTAGAGAAACGCTGATCTAGATGATTTAGCAATGCTGCAGTCTGATGCAATGTAAAATTTAGCAGATGATGTGGCCCAAGTTCTGCTTACCATTTATTCTTACACTGTACCACTTTCTGTTACCTCAGAAATTCAGACAAGAGATTTGACACGCAAAATTGCTTGTATACTTTATTAGTGCTGAGAGTGGTTCCATTCTCAAATTTAGTCCAACTTGCTTTGCAATTAGAATGGTTTCTTTCATTTTATTTTGGTCTGAAGAGGTACCACTTTACTTGAACTGATAGGTATTAAAGAAGTCGGGCAGCAATTAATTGTGTAATTGAAATTTTAAAGAATTTGTGTACCTGTGAATCTAATATCAGTCATTCAGATGTATGATATGTCTTTACTGTCTTTGTAAGGTGCTATGATTATCTGTTTTGCCATAGGGAAATGCTTATTAGTAATAATAATCAGGAATATTATTACACAGCCAGACTACTGTTTTATATATTGTGTGATGCTGTATGATTGACAATGACCATTTATATCTTTGTTGCCACCACTGCTAGACAGTTGCAAAGTGTATCATGTAAGGTACCAATGGAAAAGTTATAATCTGTCAAGTATGATTATACTGGTTAAATCCCTTTATCGTCATTGTGTCTGAGCTAGGAATATCAGCTATGTATTTGTATCTCAAATGTGTTTGTTCTTGGGGTTACACCCACAAGATATTTGGCATTCTGTGTTCTCAGCCCTTTCTGAATGGGCAACTCAAGCTTGATAGACCATTAAGAAGAATCATCTCTCCAGATAGCTCTTCCTGAGGATGCCTCAAACAGCAAGGAGCCAGTGGCTACTCCAGTGATTCAGTAAAACATATAAGAGCAAGTGATAATGACATGTGACCTTGGATTCCATCTTTGTCAGTAAATTTCCAAAGACAGCAGTTGTGGGCTTTGTCTGATAATTTTATATGCACAGGGAAGAGGATATAAAAATCAGGATCATCTCCATTTTGTGTAATTCCTGCTCCAGTTTTCTAGAATATGGATTTACAGCTAAACGGAGTATTTTAAACAACAGGCCAAGGACTTTCTAATCTTTTGAAAGTTAAGACAAACATTATTCCGTCACTGCTACAAGCCTGATCAGAGAACTTTACAAACATTTATTTGTGTGTATATGTAATTTATAACTATTCTTTTATTAATAAATTGGCTAGTTTACCAAGGATTGGCTAAAAGCATGATATGAGGATAAGGTCTGAAATATATGTTTATCTCGGGGTAAGCATCTGATCCTTTGGGATTGGTAGGACCTCATGTCTGGTGAATTAGGTTGTCAGTAACCTCTCACTGTGTAAGATCAATTTGTCAGAATGGGAACCAAAAGCTAGAATCCCTAAAAGAGATTGTGTCTGGCTTCTTGTTAATCAGTGTGGTGCTATGGAAGCTCTTTTCTTACTGGCTTGGTGAATTTAATTACAGAATAAACCTCTAGGTTTTGGGATGTTTGCCTTGCTTCTTGTAGTTTGCCTTGAGGTGGCATTCTACTTGGTGAGCCATTCAAGGAATCAGTCACATCACATATTTAATTAAATAACAGAATTATACATCAGATTAGGCCTGAAGTAAATAATACACTACATTGAAATTACATCTGCTTACCCCACAGCTGAATTTGTCACCATATAAAAAAAATTAAACATTTTTACTAATTGCATGGCTTTGTGCATGATCATAGTCTGTAGTCCTATAAAAAATACAGCATAATTTAGTCCAACTTGCTTTCCAATTAGAATGGTTTGTTTCATTTTATTTTGGTCTAAAGAGGAACTACAATAAGCAGCGGTACAATATTGATGGATGGTGAACAGACTGGGGAGTAATCTCTAGCAAACTTTGTTTTACAAGCAATAGCAGTTTCTGTCAGATGAAAGATTTGTAACGGTGGGTGTGAAAGAAAGCAATATGCAATACATTTTCAAGAATCAAAAAAGGGACAGTCTGAAATATAACAGCGAAATCTCTAAGGATATGTCTACACTACCACCCTAGTTCGAACTAGGGTGGTAATGTAGACATACCCTACCCTACAGCGTTATTTCAAAATATCTTATTTCGAAATAGTTATTTCAAAATCACACGTCTATACCCAAAATACATTTCGAAATAGCCTTTTACTATTTTGAAATAGCGCGTCCACATTGAGTGGATGCTGAATCTCATTTAAGGCCGGCCGGAACCAGGTCCAGCAAGGCATCAGGTCAGGAGTTACTTTGTGAGGCAGCCAAGCATGACAAAGTGTGACTTAAGGCTGCTTTCTGTTTGTTTTTATAAAAGAATAAGCCTCCTTGACTTGGACTGAATGAGGCACTTCATGCTTGAAGCTGGGGTACAATGGCAGCCATCAACTGACACAGAAAAGACACCATTCCACAGAGTATCATGGGGGACAATAGGGTGCCTAGATCCTGTGCACCAGGTTTTCTGCAAGCAAAATCTCTCTCAAGAAGGACTTCAAACACTATGAAAAGCAGACAACTGTGCAAACGCTCCACTCGCAGCTCCTTACTATATTTTGACATCTTGAGTAGTTTTTGAATTGCACAATAATCAGTCTTGTTATCTGAAAACAGCTAGAATGCTTTGGTTTGTTGATTGCTAATAATATTCCCCACTTGGAAAGTTCAACAAGCATATTATTGGTATCTCTATAGTCATTTGAGGATAAAGAATTAGTAGGGGGCTAATGATTTGCTGTATTATGGCTTGCTATACTGTTACTGATTTGACAACTTGATGCTGCCAAATGATTAAATGTATAGCAAAATGCATATATTTTCATCTGGGAAACAGAGAATCAGTTCCCATGGCAGCCTCTCCAGCTGTAACATTGCAATAGGCTGTCAGTGTTATGAATCCACTGTTTGCAACAGCTGGATTTCCTCCACCTCCTAAATGCAAAGAAGAGGAGGTTGGCTGCCTTCTTTTACTAACCCTTGATTAATTAATAGTATAGCAAGCATAAAATAGGCCAAAAAAAAGACCATACAATTAGTTACATGTTCTCTAAATCCTAAACTTGAGAAGTTATTCATTTTGAAAAGTTTCATGACAAAGAGCTGTACATATAAACAAGCTCCATGCACACAAATCCTGGTGTCTTCTAACCAATTTTTTCACACGCATACAACCCTAACCATTTAAAAATGCATCTGCCTATAAATAAAGTTCCTGACATTCTTAACCTACTTCCCATCCACCTCCACAAAAAATTCAGATGTGTAGGAGATTACCTGACCTTCGAGGACAGAGGGAATAGTATATTCTGAAGGGCTTAGAAAATTCATGTTAGTGAATTAACATCTGTGCAACTCCACTGGCTTCAATCTATGTCCAAGGGTAAATGAGTACAAAATCCAGTCTATCAGTAGGAATTTTGCACAATGACTGAAAACAAAATACATTTTTCTGTAGTTTGCCCTAGTGTGCAGCAGCAGTTATGAAAGGAAACAGAATACATTTGTACTTCAAGAAGGGTGAAAATGACGCAAAACACAGTGTCATTGCAGAAAATGGTAATGCTGCTTTAACTGAAGTGTCTTGTTCCATTTGGATCATCATTCCTCAAGAAAGATGTAACATTGAAAAAAGCAAAGAAAAGCATGGCAGCGAGTGGAGTGAGATTTACATAGAAAGATGGACAATATAGCTTATTGTGATTGGAAAGGAGGGAAAGATGGATCTTTTATGAATAATTTATTGAGAACAGATTGGATTTATCTGAATTCGTATTGTGCCATCAAATGTCTCCTAGGGCACAAACAAGAGTCCACAGCCCTATCATGCTGTTTGCAGTAACGGCTAACTTTATGTTTCTATGGCTTAACTTTTTATGGGGGTTGTTTGTTGGCTGATAGTTCTACCCCAGACCTGCTGGACTAGTGGACTACCTTTCATGTGGCCCTTGTCTTTAACCTTTCTGGCTTTGCTGGCCTGACTGGGAGCTAGTACTCCTGCAGACATAGCTTTCAGAGTCACTGAAGCACATAGGCCTTCACACCATGTTGAGGCATAGTGCTCAAGGAAGGAAAACCAATCAGTTCTGTTATTTTTAGTCTATCCCACAATAGAAGAATGTGACTATATTAGAATGTCATTAAAGGGTAATGTTATATTCACAATAATTAAAATGAAATAATTCTTTGTGCACTGTATAGTCAACATATTTAGTTCATTGACACTTGGGGTCATTGAGATGAAGGGTGGTTTTATAGTTAAATTATTAAACTTGAGAAGACCTGACTTTTATGCTTATCTCTGTCACAATCTATGATGTTGGCCTAGATACTTAGCCTTCCTATGCCCAAATTTCATTATCAATAAATGTTGTGAGGCTTAATTCACTAACATGAGTAAGTATGTTGAGTTGGAAGTTGGAAGATGCTAAAGAAAAAGAAGGTATTTTTTGTTAATGTTTTTCTCTGAGCTATCAGAAGTCCTTTACTGGTTGTTCAAGATCACTGCAGCCACTCTGGGACATTTAAGGATCCCATCCTCCAGTGCTGAAAAAAGGGACAAACAATGTGTAAATTCAAACTGTAAAGTGACTCAGGCTTATATAGGTAAACAGTGACCTAAATTTAGCAAGATGTGGTTTGGGGGAAATTTTATGCACTGCTTTTCTCCATGACTTTTCCAGCACATAGGAGCATAATGTGGCTTAATTGTACTCATTTTACACATGCTCTTCATTATGCATTTTTAAAAATCACAAGTAGTTCAGAAATTTACTACACCTAATATACATTGCAGTATTTCTTGGGGCAGATTACATTTCAGAAAATTTTGCATGCCACCAGCTGGTTTGTGGGCAATGGCATACCACCTGTCTCTAACAAGCCATAGTCTAACAACTGGTGTATGGTACACTTTTCACTTCACTGACAGTCATGCCATACGTGACAAAGTGCTGTGATCTATTTGCATGCTACGTATTCCATTTCAGTAAGTTCTTCCTCACAAAGTGCTTTGAAACAGTTAATAAAATGGAGAGCATGATCAACATTGTACTTGTCACAGATGTTTTGGAGTCTATATAATCTATTCATTGCTTTCTTTTCTCCAAGTCCACCAGGGAGTATATAAAATCCACAAGTTTGTAGTTAGAGCTCTGATTTACTCTACCTATAAGACATACATAAACTGTGGTGGTAATGCATCTTCTATTTATCTACATACCTTTTCAAGCGCAAGAATACACGTTATTCCTCACTTATAAAACTTTGCAGTGAATTTGTAAGGGATATCATTCCTTTGGTATCGGGAGCCTACAGCACACTGCTTGGCTGATTAACCCCACTCAGTGTACCTGAGAGGAGAGCTGGGCTTTAATTAGCTGATCCTTATAGAACAGAGCAGCAGCAGATGGAAAAAGACTACAACGCCCTCCAGAAAGCTGAGGTGCTGTGCTCCGAATGACCTGGTACTGGAATCAATACAGAAAGGAAGTGATACAAATCCCAAATAGATAGAAGGAAGAGTGTGAAAAATCTTTGATTATGAGTCTCTGATGTAAGAGTCAGGAATTTTGGGTTGCTGAAAGCATCAACGTGAGGAAAAAACTTGGGGAAGGGACTACCCATCATGCTTTGAGAGAAAAAAATCTGTGAAGTTTCATTTTTTAAAAAAGGTTAAAATTACAGCTGGAAACAGCATCCCTGAATTCTTTGGAGAGAATGCCAACAATTATCCAGGGAGTGAACTGACTCTCTAAGAGCAAAACCGCCCCAGTAAGAGGGGGGTGCTATGCAGTAGCTCCCAATGTTTCACAGGAGCTACTGAATAACTGTGTACACACTTTAACATCAGTGTGTATTGTTACCAATATTCTCAGCAGCAGTGCCTCTTGCAGGCTATCTGCCTTTTGCTGGGACTTCCATGGCATGGCCCTTCAGCCAAGGCAGTCCTCAAACTTCTTCTAAGGTATCATGAACAATTCAAAATGAATCTGAATACATATTTGCTTCCTTAAGTTACTGGAGTCTTCTGTTTCTAGTAACAAATGCTATCTCAGGGGTCCGTTCCACAGGAGCCTATTTTACTCGTGGGGTTCTCACCCCCAGAGGAATCTTGCTTCCTTTGCTGCCTGCCTGTAGATCTTGTCCCCTTTCCATCATCCTGCAAAG